CGCGGTGCAGGGGGGAGGCCAGGGGGAGAGGGGGGGGCGGAGGACTGGGCCGGACATAAAACAACAAGGAAAGTGTAGACCCCTCTCCCAGGCCTTGGGAGGTTTTCGAATGGACCTGAAATTTGGGGCCCAATCCAAGAATATACGATCTGGGGGCGACAATCCTCGATATAGGGTGCGTCCGAATAGCCCCCCTGGGGTGTATCCCAGGGTTTCCCTCCTGTTCTGAACGGCTTCATTTTTCGTCAAAAAGTTGCGAGTGGGGGGTTGGCAGAGCAAAGTCGCCTGCGAAACAGGAGGGGTAGCAAAAGGGGGGGTTTGCGAATCAGCTCACGTAGCTGATTTCTCCAGCGCCTCCCAGTGCCAGAGGCGCCAGCGTACCGAGGGAAGCGCCCGGCGCCAGAGCCGAAACCAACTGCATGCAGCTGGTTTAGTACACACCGTTTTTCCAATCATCGTGCTAGGAAGAGCTTTTCTGGCCCAGGCGGACCCCACCCACGAATGGGTCTGACGACATAGATCCAAAGAGCATCCCAAAAATCCGAGCCCCTCCCTCAGCCCCAAATACACCCTCAAATGATCGTTATTCCGAAATCCCGAAATCTCGATCGGAGCCCCAGCTGGTCCCCCAAAATCAAGAAACCTCAGAATCCAGTTAGCCAAAATGTTGCCTCAATCCCTATCCCGAAATCCCCGAATCAGCCCCATATTACAGTTTTTGTCCGCGTCTTCTGGCGGCCAACCTGGGGGCGAAGTGAAAGGGGGCGGGCCTTTTCAGAAGGCACCTTCAGCCCTCGCCAACATTGAGTTAATCTGATTTTTCAACATAACTCGGGCACTTCAACATACTGGCTAAATTGTTAAGTATTCAATGCAAAACTTATATCCAAGAAAAAACATATTCCGAAGCCCCCTGGCCTTCTGAGCAGTTTCCTGAGCCTTCCCCGAAGACGTCGAAAACCTCTCAGAAGGCCAGGGGCACCACCTTCTGCGAGGGCCTTCTCCTTCTCGCTTCTCCCCCTCGCTCGCACCCGAGTCTTGGCGGCCGAAGAATAGAGGAACAGAAAACGGCAGAAACATAAACTTTTGGCGGTCCGCGCGGATTTCTTGGATCTGACCTGGACCCTCCTCCCTGGCGCGCGGAGTGCGCCAGGGGCGGCGCCGGAGGCGCCGCCGGGGGGCCCCAGCGCGGATCGAAGAAATCCGCGCGTAGTGCCAACAGTTTATGTTTATGGCGTTTTTTGAAGGGGCCCTGGGACACACAAATAAATAGACACAGTCAACCATATTTTCCTACATTTTCTGGGTTTCTGTCGTCCCCCCCGCTTCCCATGTTGTCTCATATTTTCTGGGGAGTCGACGATAGATTGTGTCTGTGTGTTTTTCTCCCCTCCTGAGTTTTGTCTCCTTCGAAAGAAGCTGGCTAACAGAGAGAGGCGACCACGAGCGGCGAGGTCGCCCCGTCGCGGCCACGGCGCCCGCGGGCGGGGCCACAGGCGGCGCCAGGCGAGCAGCCCAGAGACGAGGGCCGAGGCTTATGTTGCTCCAATCGTACAAAGGACCACATCCCAGAAATATTTTCGAGCACCCAGAAAAATGTCGAAAGAGTGTCGAAACAGTGTCGGACAAGTGTCCACCAGGGCCAGACACGTGAAAACCCTTGCGTTTCGGTACTTTTCTGGTGTTTGAAATTCTTTCTGATGATGAAGGCTAAAGTAAGTTGGGACATCATAAGCCGAGGCACCAGAAGGGCCACAAAACGCCGCGCAGGCACGCAGGCGCGCACGCTCCACAGAGCGCACGCAGGGGGAATCCAGGAGGGGGGCGTTCATAGAAGGAGAGGAGCAAAGCCGTAAACATCCACTCGTGGCGCTCCGCGCGGAGTTCTTGGATGTGCGCTGGACCCCCCCTTTCCTGGCGCGCGGAGCGCCGGAGGCGTCGCTGGGGGGGGCCCAGCGCGGATTTAAGACATCCGCGTGGAGCATCGACAGTTGATGCTTATGGCGTTTTTTTTTCTTCGAGTTCAAGAAGGGCGGGGGCGCAGATCATGGCCCAAGGCACGTGCGCGGCACATGCTTCTGTTGTTCCCCGGCGCGCCAGTCAGCCAAAGAACACCAGCTTGCCTGACCTGATGCGATTCCAAGGATTCGTGGTGATCAAGCGGCGGTAAGCAGCAATGCTTTGCAACGGCAGGGGGTGCTTGTCACGGATGACCTCTTGAAGGTGGCACCCGTGTCCACGTCCTGCGGCCCAGGGGGGGGAACGTAGTGAAATAAGAAGAGGGGCCATGAGACCTGTGAGTATATACTGGCCTCAACCATGCTACGCGCCCTCCTTAGTCATCAACCCCCGTATTGGAAGCCAACGACGCGCACACGTTTTTGCCTCCGCCGGCCAGGTGACGCCACCGTAGTGCCTGCCAGAATGGGCCGCAAACTGGCGTGCATTCCGCACGGCGTCGCGAGCGGGTGGCACACATGCGCGCACCCACGCACCCGCACACATGCTTTCTCCTCCGCCTGGCAGGTGGCGCCACAGTACTGAATGATACCAAGGGACACACCCATGCACAAAGGCAGACATTGACGCAAACGCAAACGCAAACGCAAACGCAAACGCAGGCGCAGACGCAGCCGCAGCCGCAGCCGCAGCCGCAAACACAGACGCAGACACAGAGAGACAGAGAGACAGAAAGACAGAGACATAAAGACACATATACACACACGCAACACGCAACACGCAACACGCCAACGCACACGCACACGCACACGCACACGCACCACGCGCACACGCACGCGCCCACGCGCACGCGCACGCGCACGCACGCGCACGCGCACACGCGGACGCACACGCGGACGCATACGCACACGCACGCGCACACCCACACGAACGCACGCGCGCGCACACGCAAACGCGCACTCACACGCACAAGCACACGCGCACGCGCACGCGCACGCGCACGCGCACGGGCACGCGCACGCGCACGCGCCCCCACATCCACACCCACACCCGCACCCACACCCACACCAGCACACGCACGCGCGCACACCCACACCCATCCTTACTTCCTATGATTACACACTCCCACCCACTCCCCACCGATCCGGCCGATAGCAACCCCGCCGTCCTAACTGTCAAAAAAACACCAGCTCATTTTTCCCCCGCCAATATCGAGTCGCGAGAACGATCGCAGGATTGGGACGCGGCGCACATTGCGCGCGGACGCCTGTCGGCGCTGCGAATCGCGCAGCGGGAATGGGACGCGGCGCGCATCGCGCGGGAGCGCCTGCTCGTCAACATGGACTTTCTTGTCGTCGACGCTGCGGTCTGTCGGGTTGAGGAGCTGGGCGGGCGGCAACTCATAATGTCTCAAGCAACTGCGGTTCAAGCAAGTGCCTCGGGAGACCCCCGATAGGTCGAAAAAACGCGTCCAGGAGGTCCTGGGGGGCAGCGCACCTATTGATGTCCACTCGGTGTTTGAAAAATTGTGAGATTAACACCGGCTTGTGTTGACAATGTTCCCACCAGAAAAATATATGCAAGAGGTTTCCCGCGTATACCAGGAAGATCCCAGGGCGCCCCTCGAATTCCCAAGAGGCATTATCCTCTTCCTCCTCAGTTTCTACCTCCCTCCTTCTCTCCCTCCCCCTCTCCCTCCCTCTCTCCCTCCTCCTCCTCCTCCTCCTCCTCTTCCTCCTCCTCCTCCTCCTCCTCCTCCTCCTCCTCCTCCTCCTCCTCCTCCTCCTCCTCCTCCATGCGCGGCAGGACCGAAACGATTGGCGGTGCAACACGCGTGGCTGGAATGAGACGCGGCGCACTTCGCGCGCTGGACATGTTGCCGCCGACGATGCAACATGAGAGGCCAGAGCGGGGCGCGGCGTACATCGCGCGCGGTCTTCCTTCTCGCCGACGTTGCTCAATACGCGGTGGGAATAGGACGCAACTCATGTCGCGCGCTGAACGTCTAGCCGCCCGCGATATAAGATGAGCGACAGGCGTCGGGCGCGACGCACTTGCTTCTCATGTTGTCTGAGGGCGGGTGGGGGTGGACGGAACCCTCTGGCTCGTTCGAACTGGCTAGCTTGACGCCCACCCTTACTCCTTATGATTAAACACCCCCACGTCCCCACCTAGCCGGCCGATTGCAAGCCCGCCGTCAAAACAATACGAACTTAAATTTGTTTCTCGCCAGCCTGTCGTCGAGTTGCGGAAAGCGCAATAGGAATGGGACGGAATGAACATCGCCTGGGTCACCCTAGCCGGGTGGTCGCGTCCTACTCCTCAAAAAAAAACAATGCAACGTGAACGTTTTTTTTTCGTCATCATTGAGTATTTTGTCGTCGGCGCTGCGAAACGTGTAGCAATAATGGGACGCGGCGCACATCGCGCGCGGACGCTTGGCCAACCCTATGCGGGACCCCCCGTCCTACCTGCCAAAAAACACAGCAACGTCGACGTGTTTCTTGCCAACATGTACTTTCTCCTCGTCGGCGTTGCGAATCGCGTAAGCGGGAATGGGACGCGGCGCGCGCTGCGGCCCGTCGGGTTGAGGAGCTGGGCGCGGCGTACATCGCGCGCGATGTTGTTTCTCGTCGACGTTGCTCAATACGCGGCTGGAATAGGACGCAGCTCATGTCGCGCGCTGAACGTCTAGCCGCCCACGATATAAGACGAGCGACAGGCGTCGGACGCGACGCATTTGCTCTTATGCTGTGGAAGGGCGGGTGGGAGTGGACGGAGCCCTCTGGCTCGTTCGAGCTGGCTAACTTGACCCCCACCATACACACAAACAAACAAACAAACAAACAAACAAACAAACAAACAGACACACACACACACACAAACGTACACACACGCACACGCACACGCACACGCACACGCACTAAACAAATAACAATCGTCAAAACGCTTTGGCACTCAATTGCATACCGATCCAATACATTCCAGCGCGGCCCTGATAAGGGACGGTAGCTGAATGTGGGCGTACCTAAGGCAGCGACATCGACTGTCCCCGGCCAATCGGCACGAACGCGTCCAACGCCACAACGCCAACGTGCATGGGCTCGTTGATGCGCTGCCTAGCAACCGCAAGCCAATGCCCGTGACCACGCCCATGCCTAGCTCTGACTGGCCCGTGACTGCCACATAAAGAAGTCAATCGCCTCCAACTTCCAGTCTTCCAGACCCAGCTGGCCTCCCGCTTAAACCACTGGTGACCCACAACTCCCTGTTCAAGCCCTTCAACTCCCTTTATCCAAATTCACCTTCGAATCCCTCTCCCTCCCTGTTCAACTTCCAACCTTCCAATCCCTCACAATCCCTCCCTATCCCACCCAAACCACCCTTCCTGTTCCTGGCCTCCCTCCTCCGCAATCTTCCCTTCTCACTCCTCGCCCCCCCTCTTCCCCGTCGCGCTTTCCTCCCCCCATCTATGCTCCACTCCCTCCCTTTCCTCCTCGACTTCCTAGTCTTCATTCTCGCCGTCCTCCTACCCCCTGCTGCTCCTCTGCAACCTCCCCTACCCATTAACATCCTCCTTCTCAACCTCCTCCTCCTCCTCC